AATAACATAGCCCCTCCCCTAAGCTCTGCTATGGTGAGTATGCTACACATTATCCCAGTGCTCAAATGAGACTAACCCATTTAAAGAATTCTGAAACTGCAACAACTGGAGAGAGCTTTAAGGATGTAGTCAAAGACTTTCCTTAATCGCCTCTATCAGAGGAAGGGAAAGATTTGATATAGCAATATGAGGCAAATGGACATCTCAGATGGGATGATAGTTTGAATAACAAATGACATTTGTAGATTTTGTCTTATATTTTCAGTAAGATAGAATCGATCAGCTCTGTTTGCTTAGTCTGAAGGGTAACTGTGCTGAAAGAAAATCTGATATGCTGTTTAGTAGCATTGATTCCAAAAGTCCTTCTCCACTGTGTTTTTAAGGTGTTCTGAGCACAGAACAATAACATATTATAACACAATTTGTCTGAATGTGGATGTTAAACACTCACCTTCCTCAGTGTGCTGATAACTCAATCAATTTTCTAAACTGCTTATCCAATTCAAGATTACAAGGGGCTGAAGCTTATCTTTGCTATTAAGGGGCAAGAGGTCTATCACAGATATGTAAAGCCTCAGTACTAGTTAACATAAAGAATCTCAAACTAATGCAAGAAGTGAACAAGCATTTTCTTAGAATCTTCTGGTCAAGTTTGCACAGCCTCCTTTTGCCAGAGACGCTTCTCCTTCCATGGTGCAAACATTCACGCGTAAGTGTGCGCCTCCTTTCTCTATAACATAATGTTTAAATGACTGCATTGAATCTGGACTACATATAAAAAATACAGAATCTAAACACACTGCCTTTAATGTAACATCAAGGGGAGCAACGCCACTTCCTGTTCTAAAATGGGATGTTTCCACACTGTTGTCATGGCAACACTTACTGACCTGCAAAAACAAAGTGCTCTAAACTTGTTGTCACTTCCTGTCAACAGAAGTGAGAATGGCATCATTTGTCGTTTATCTATGCGTGTATGTGTTTTTGTGTACTCACAGATGTTTCAACCTGAGAGTCATGCGGGTGTGTGCACGGGTGGTGCTGGTAGGAGGAGGGGTTGGGCAGACTTGGCTGAGTAATTGAGTGTTTAATCCCATCAAAGACTGCTTCATGCTGTCCGCTTCTTCCATAATCTGCCCATAATTACACACTCACAGCATCTCACACACATATGCACAACACAAAGCTGTTCCTGCACGCATGTAAAGAAAGGCACTCACTCAGACCCTGTTGAGCATCAAAAACTGTTTATCTTAAGGGTATTGATTATATTGATAGTGACATTATCCCAGTGGTGAATTAAATAATCTAATTTGTGTCCACAGTTTCAAAGGACTGGCAACTGTCTGTCTGTGACATTTACTATTCTAAAGGTGGATGCTCATTAAGCATGGCCAAAGTTTCACATAACGAGGCCAACATCTGTGCAAGTATTCAGTGTGAGCCAAAAGCTCAGGCATCCGACTGTTTTAATACTTTTTTTTAAACTCTTGGCTCTGCATGATGTCAGTTAGCGATCATAGCCCTCACATGGGCACCAAGGCTCTGGCAGCAAGAGCATATGCCCCACCCACTTTCCATTCCTCTTCTTCTTCTTTTTTCCCAAAGGGACAGCCAATCAGAAGAAAGCTGGCTTAAAGGGAGCTAAAGCAGCTTATTTCAGACAGTGGATTAACCAAGGAGCTAAGCAAAGGCCCAGTATGAGATAAAAAGGATTATTTTAAACTGTGAATCATGCACAGCTGTTCCAGTAGACTCTAGGTGAGAAAATCTGCCCTCTAAAATGAGCATATTAGGTTCCGTTTAATACAGACTTTTATGGACATAGCTCATTCTTTAAGCTAAAACGTGCTCTAATTAGAAGTTGTCTTTCTGTTAGCATGAGTAATGTTGTATAAGAAAATTGGTATTAGGACTTTGAGCTCTGGAATTAATAGTCTTGTGAATTAATGAAAAGCAGCGTTTTCCCACTATTATGCAACTATATGCATAAAGGCACATCAAAATTTCACTGCATACTATCTGTTACATAAGTGAAACTGTGTACAAGTTTCTTGTCATCTCGCTGATGACACAACATCGACTGTCTTCATCTAGTGTTTGGTGTACATTTGATAAAAATCCCAGATTAATATCTTCCTCCATTCTTTATAATATCGTTCCTGCCACTCACTTTATATGACTTTTTTCCCGTTGCAGAGAGAAATCCATTAGTGTCCGTATTTGGTTTCAGGTTGTCCACAGAGATACAAAACCATTCATCTGTCACAGTATGATATATATGCTACACAGTGAATGAAACCCACTCTTAACCCGTGGGTCAGTGCAGTGAATCGCTGCACTGACACATCTTTGATCAAGCTACTAAATGGCTTGAACAGGATAGTTGTCCCACATAAATCCTAAATGATCCAGGAAAGCCAAAGAAAAGGAAGAGAAGGAGGAGGAAAATGAGGTGTTTTTTCTTAGCCTGGCATGGCCAAAGGGGCTAGCACTGATGGTAGTAAATAATATGGTAAATACTGACGCTTTTATTCCTGAACACTCCCATCTGTCTGGCCCAGGGAGAGAAAATAAATACTGGTGGAGTGGAAGAGGCAGAGGGAGTGTGATGAACCAGCAGGACCCACAGCAGATTAGAAATGCAGACTTTTGACTAGAGGCTTCCTGGAACCCATATCAGCCTGGAAAAAAAATTGGTAGGGAAAAATGAGTGTGTAAAACCTACTCTGCACCGTCAACCATCATCAACGTGACCATGAGCAAAGCACCAGATTGCTTCTTTAGAGGTGCTGGTGCATTGCTCTGCAAAATCTACATGTGAATGTGCTTCAGAAAGTGAAGTAAGTAAATGCAATTAGAAAATTAATACAACTTAATTAATGTAATAATTATGTCTCAGTTAAAACAAATTACATTAGCCAAGTTTTTCTTGGGTTACTAAAAGAACGAGTCAATGAATGGCAATGTTGGTGTGCCAGTCAGTCTATTGCTTTAGTGCAGATTCAATATTTTGTTCAAGGAATTTGGTAAAGACAGGCTGAATCCTGAAAATAAAAAAATAAATGCTATTGCAACAGAAAGCCTTACAGTTTTGTTTAAATATTCATGGCTCTTTTATGTCTTGCATACGGCACCATCATCAGTAAAAAATTTTAATTTAGTCACATTTCCAACCAGTGTACTCGCAACTTCAGTCCAAGGGAATTAAAAGCTTCCCCAGAAATTTCATTATTTGCATTTTCATTGCAGTGCAAAGTCCAAAAAAGTTTAAGGAAATTAGACTTGTATAAAAAAAAAAAAAAGCAATGGCTGTTTCTGCAAATTCTTCCACTCATTTGTAGTGTGAGGATATAATGCAGAGGACCAGTATATTATACACAACCAGTCAACGTTTTGGACACACCTTCTCATTTAATGGTTTTTCATGATTATTTCCATATTAGATTCTCACTGAAAGCATCAAAACTATGAATGGACACATATGGAATTATATAATAAACAAAAAAGTGTGATATAGCTCAAAACATGAAAACATGTTGTAAGTTTTAAGCAGCTGGATAGTGTAGTGGTAAGACTACACACCTCTGGAGCGAGGGTCGCAAGTTTGATTGAGTTTACCCCTAATCCTAAAAAAACAGCCCTGGAGTACAGCCTGTTTGCAGTTCAGGACACAAGCATTTCACTATATGTTGTACTGTTTATGTGACAAATAAAATCGGTATATTATGGATTCTTCAAAAGAGGCATCCTTTGCTTTGATTACTGCTTTGCACACTCTTGGCATTCTCTCAATAAGCTTCCTACGAGTCACCTGAAATGGTTTTCCAACAGGCTTGAAGGAGTTCCCAGAGATGCTGAGCACTTGTTCGCCCTTTCGCCTTCACTCTGAGGTCAATCTCATCCCAAACCATCTTCACTGGGTTTAGGTCAGGTGACTGTAAAGGACGGACCCAAAGATCTCAAATTCGGACTCATCAGACCTAAGCACAGATTTCCACTGGTCTAATGTCCATTCCTTGTGTTTCTTCACCCAAACAAATCTTGCTTTTCCTTAGCAGTGGTTTCGTAGTGGCTATTTGACCATAAAGGCCTGATTCACGCAGTTTCCTCTCAACAGTTGATGTGGAGATGCGTCTGCTACTGGAGCTCTGTGTGGCATTTATCTGGGCTCTAATCTGAGGTGCTGTTAACTTCCGATTTCTGAGGCTGGTGACTCGGATATAATAATAATAATATATCCTCAGTTCCAGAGGGGACTCCTGGTCTTCCTTCCCTTAATTATGCAAATTCTCATGACCATTGATCAACAACCACTGACCAAAACCCACTGATCAAAGACCACTGATCAATGGCCATGAGTACCATTCACAGAGAGTTGGGGAATGGCTGCAATCACAGCATTGTAAGATGGCGAAAGATGTACCCTTAGGCCCCCTCATCGATTCAGAGATGGTCTTTCCCTTTTCTTTCGCCATCTTACAATGCTATGCAATTAAGATTAAGGAACTGACCTCCCAGCCCATTGTTCCTTCAGTGGGCTGGTTTCAGTCATTATGCAAATGTACTGTTTATAAGATTGGGGAAACCTGCAGTCAGCTGAGACTGAAGAAGTCACTTGGATGAGTGACGAAACGTTTCTCCCACAAAACGCTACGTCCAGATGAACAGAATCAACATTTTGGAGATTTACTTTCCTGAATGATTGAGAATGCATCAAGACGTTACCATAATGTGAATTCTAACATGTCATGGTCTGGTTGGGCACCTGCAGGTCTCAGACAGCGGCTCCTCCTCCTTTAGGCGGAGTCCGGTTGCCCCTCCCTGGCTGACCACCTGTGAGCAATCGTGCCAGCGGTATATCAGACCTGCGCTCTCAACCACTCATCGCCTGAGTATCTGCTATTCCCATGTTAGTTCAGTGGAGCATCCTCAAACCTTGTCTTAACGCCGTGTGATGACTGACCTGTCTTTTCTTGTCCTCAGCGATAGTACCCGGAGTGGAGATCTTGTTCCCCTCGCTCCCGTCCTCCTGGACCTGGGCCGCCAGCTGCTCACACAACGTGGCCTGCCGACCCACTGCTCACCTGCCTGCCTCCCCACGCCTCGACCGCTTCCGGGTTTTCCGCTCCACCTGTCCCCTCCATCTGAAACCAAGTAAGGCAATTCAATTCAACTGCGGAGGATTATTGGTTGTCTGCTGGATCCCTCTGATCGTGATCTCCTCTTGTTCCAGTGCCCCGGCCCCTACCTAGTCCTGTTTCTACCTCCCCGCTGTCCCCGCTGTTCAGCCGTCTCCTAGAGGTGTCTAGGTCGCCCTCATTTTCACAGACGAGTCCTACGCGCCACTAGTGTGGTGGCGTCGCTTTGTGTTTCACCTTTGTTTTCCCTGTGGGCGGAAATAAATCATTTGTTTTCTGTCACCTCGCTTCCGGGTTGGTTTCTGCGCCTGTGTCCATCCCTGTTCCCTCGTGCCGTTGAGCCGTGACATAACAGTTGTCAGCTGTGTACCAACCTGACTTCTACACAACATAGTTGATGATCCCAACCCCATTAAGAAGGCAAGGAATTCCACAAATGAACCACCTGTGAAGTGAAAACCATTTCAGGTGACTACATCACAAAGCTCGTTTGAGAGAAGGCCAAGGGTTGGCAGTGCTGTCAACAAAGCAAAGGGAGCTGCTTTCAGGAACCTAAAATGTGAGACACATGTAGAGTTATTTATCATTTTTTTCTTTGCTACATAATTTCATATATTGTGCTTCATATATTTCATGTCTTCAGTTTGTATCTAAAATGTGGAAAGTAGTAAAAAGTTGCGCTGCTGTAGATGTAATTCATTGCTTTACAAATTGGGTCATTGAGTCAGTGAAAGAAAAGAGATGAGTGGTACTAGCAGGTTGAATTAATAATGTCTGAACTGCTAAACTGAAAGTAAATAACTAGGTCTTACAGGGTATTGTGGAGGTTGACCTTAAATCACAGTAGATATTTATAAAAATTCAGGGGATACTCAACCAACACTCAAAAACGTTCAGGGTTGCAGGCCCCCTTCAGAAAAGTCGTCTCAGTACTTCTAGATGTGGTTTGTGGGTTTTAACAAACATGGATGTAACTTATTAAACTGTAAAGAAAATACAGCATAGTGAAATAAACTTGAGAAAACATTATGCCTGAAAAATATTACAATACTACTAGTTTTGTCAGCTTGGCTTCACAGAAAATATGAGAATCCCTCCATATGTTGATAGTGCTGAATGAGTCCACTGGTGTCACTGCTGTGCAGTCCAGGCCATCATTAAAAGCCACTTTAAGTCCCCTGACCATTTGAATAGACTTTTAAATATTTGGTTTTAAAAATATGTAAATGAGTCTCTGTGAGCTTTAGTTAAAGTTTGACAAACACAGATGTTTTCAGTGCATCATCATTGCATGGAGGTTTAATAACTATCTGCTGGTTGAATTGTGATGCAGTGTTTAGTGTTCTTACCTGAACATAAGTAGGTGAGATCCTACAAGGTGGCTTAACCCTTTTTGTCTAATCGCATATCTCACTGTGCTTATCTGCTCATTTGCTGTAAAAATATAGAATAATTACAGATATTCGATAAAGGTGTAGTTCAAGAGCTTTTACCTTTACATCCTGATTTATCTGTCACAATGTTAGGAGATTTATATAAATAATAAAGTGTGTTTGATCCCAAGAAACGGATGCAGGTGCAAAAAGAATAGACTTTGACAAAAGCATAAAAGAATGTGTTTACCTCTGTGCATTTCATCTCATTTTATCTGCATTTTTCTCCCAGAAGGTTTACGATGTACAATGTCATCATTTAGGAGGATCCTACAGAGGAAAAACAGAAATGATGAAACACATGCAAACAAATAAGATTACACTACATACAGCAACTTAGAACACAAACACAAATGGTGTGCTCATCCTTACTTAAAACATACCGGTTAAGGAAAAGTATTTACCCCCTTCCCGATAATTGTGTAAATGGGTATAAAACACTTTGAGTGCTTAGGTAAAGTAGACAAGCGCTATATAAAAACCAGTCCATTTACCATTTACTGTTGAATCATGAAAACTGAGCTTAATAGAAGAAAGTGAGGCCTGCGGGTTTTTAGATGTTGTTCTGTGTTCTTTTGTGAAGTCCTGGATGAGCCATCCATGCACTTTTGAAATAACTTTGATATGTTGGGCACTCCTGAGAAGGTTCAACACAGTTTATTTTTCCATTTCTGGATAATGACTCATATCTTTCTATACCTTAAAAAGAAATCTTTCTATATCTCAGTTCCACTGTGATTTCAAAGCACAAATGGCTGATGTAGAACAAAGACTTTTAAGAGAATATAAACATTAGCAGGTAAAACAAGCCTGAATCATTTCAAGAATACAATTTCAACGTTTAAACACCACTTGGATTTGAACAAATATAGACAAGAAGATTTCATGTGCCATTCAAAATTCACGTCTGACTAAATATATGGCCACTACTATTCACAAGTATTGGCACACTATATGTTCTGTCCCTATTATGAAGGGCTATTTGAGCAAGCTGCCACAGATTGCGTTCAAAAGACCCCCCAATCTTAGAAGCGTGTCAGTAAAAGCAGAGCTTTCTTCTTCTTCAACTATGTAGAATTTACAAATGCGACAATTCAGCAACGTAATCAGCGATGTAATTTTATTTATAAAACCAAGGCTCACTGGAGCACCAAAGCCTTAAAAATGGCTTTGTAACATTTTCCAGACTGATAGATATAAATAGCTATGTTTCTCATCTGTTCTTGTGTTTCTGTAGATCACAGCATTTTGTACAGCTTTTTGAGATATTTTAGCCCAGTTGACTTTTCAGACAGGTTCAGGTTCAGCTTTTTCTCGATTCAGCAGTAATCATGTCTGGGTGTAGGTGGTGAAATTAAACTTAGCTATTCAAAAACATGTGGTTAGTCACAGTTATTTCATGATTTAATAAGAGGAGGCAATTTTATGTGGCCAGGTAGACTTAAGAAATGAAAAAATCATTGAAAAATTGCATTTTGTATTAACTCAGATTACATTTGTCTTATTTTAAAATTTCTTTAATGGTCTGTAACATTTAAGCATTCCACAAACAAATTAATTACAAAGATCCAATAAGACATCAATAGTGCTTGCTTAAAGAGCAAAGAAAGCATTTCTACTCCTGTTTTTACTTTCAGACTTTCACAAACAAAAAGGAAAACAGGTTGTTTTAAGATGATAATTCAGGGATAATGCAAAGGAGTGAAAAACCTGATAAAAACAGAACTTTTATTTGATTCAAAATTAGTTATGAAACACTATAATGCCTGCAAAGAAAAGGGCTATTGCATGAATAGAAAGACTTGGAACCAAAAAAATATTCCATAAAAGAGGGGCAAATTAAGATAATAACATTTTAAATGAACCTAATTGAGTGTCTTTTCTATACGCACTGCAACAGTTTCAGATTTCATCTCTTTGGCATCTTAGACGGTTGGCATAGAACTCTTAGCCAAATCTAGTGAGATGAAACCGTTTTAGTCTGCCTGCAGTTGGTGCAGCAGTTGAAGTGTTTTACTCTCTGGCTTTTCATGTATGTACTTTAAAGGCACATAAAGTGTAAATTTAAACTGTGCCTGAAAACAAAACTAACAAAATTTATCTACTGTAAATGAATGGGACAGGAGCAGCAGGAAGGGCCTAAATTAAAGAGGACAGAAAGAAAAAAGGCATGCTAAATATATACACTCATTTATTACAGCAACCACTCACACACGCATGCAGACACACACACACACACAAATGTTTACTCATGCTCCGTGAAAAGGTGGAAGTGGGCAAACATGCTTGGTGGCCAGGCTGACCCCTTGTCTTGCTCCAGTGTCTATCAGCTTAGACAGAGAGGGCGCCAGGAGAGGTGGTGAGGGGGAAGGAAGGGGAGGAGAACCATGATAGGACGAAGCAGAGGAGGCAACAGACTGCCAGATCACTGTGTGGCAGAGTAGTGTGGCCTCTGGCACTGTCACAACTGCTGCCACTGCTACTTCTGTGGTTGTTGCTGTCAGATGACGACAGGACAGAGAAAAACAGAGAAAAACAAGTGAGGGTCGGGTTAGGGAGGACAGTGCTGCTGATTGGAAAGACTGCCAGAATATCTTACTTAAGTAGAAATGCTGTCACCTTGTTTTTCTTAATTAGAAGTGAACTTAAACTGGAAATGCTGTAGGGCATACTGCTTGACTTTCCTATAGCATTTGCTCGCATTAATCCCTAATAAATCCCATAAAAGCTCTTCAGCTCGGTGCTAAAGTTTCTAAACTGAAGAATTAAATAAAGATTAGACGACTGAAGCATTTTAGATTTTATAATGTGTCCTTTGATCTTGACATTGTATCATTTTCCAACTTAAGTTTTGGCTATAAGCTCACATTTGTGGCTCACACAATTCTATATCTAAACTCACCTGCAATCGTAGTAAAGCTTCTACAATTCTAATTTGGATATATGTTGGAGTTTAATACGCTTTGGTCCTCTCACTCCTCTCATTTTTTATTCTAAACAAATGCTCAGTCCGTCTCTTAGACACTGGAACATGTGCTAAATGTTTCAGGTAAAATGCACACTTGGAAAACGTAGAAAAAAAAGTATGAAACAGATAGCACATTAATTTAGAAAACGATGCTGTACAGCTAACACCTAAAACAATTTCCCCAACAGTCATAAAATGTTCAATAATTCAGTGAACAAATGCACTTTATATGAAAAGGAATATGAAATGAAACTGTGCAATGCAGGTATGACTTCCCTTTAGAGGAGCATGCCGATAAAGTGAGTAAATCTCTTATTGCTCTTGATGTCAAGGCTGTTGCAAATGTAATCACAGCTTGCAAATCATTTCGCTTGATAAATATTTGAGCATACACTTCTCCTTTTCTGGAAAAAACACAAGTAAAGAGGCCTTTATATATGAGCGGATCACTAATTAGATTGGAAAAGTGATCTTTTCCAATAAGAAAGAGCAAAGATGTGTGAAACTGTTAGTGTTCAATAAGTAGTTACTAGGGAATGCCTGAGAAATGACTCAGTCAGACACACATTAACACATTAGGTCATGATTTGTCTTAAATAACTATAAATTGATATACTGTAAATGTATTCATTAGTAGATCCTGATTAATGAAATCAGCCACTTACCACAGAAATAAGGACCTTTAACATTAACTTACTTAATTGTTAGCTGCTCCGTGTGCACTCTCATGAAGGAGTTCTAGACCTCTTAGGATCTATTAATGCGCCACTTTGCTTGAGAAGGCAAAAAAAGCAACTAATATTAAGTAACAATTAAATAATGACAGCAATTTAGTAAAATGTATATAAATTAATTATATCTGAAGTTTAAAACTTAAATAA